GAAGGGGGTGGAGGAGGCCGTGTGTTTGACCATCAGTGTTTGCTCTCAGTCAGACAGCCAAGCAGTCCCCCATCCTGTCACACACACACACACACTTTCGCCTCGCTGACCCACTCTCCCGAGGGATGGAGACCTCCACCTAGAGGTCAGGGAGAAGGTGGAGGTCAAATGGGCTGTGTATGTGTGCATGTGAGTCTAAATAGGGATGTGGGGGTCTGACCGGCTAACTGGGGCTAAAAGCTAAGTGAACAAACACACAGGGATGCACACACACACACACACACACACACACACACACACACACACACACACACACACACACACACACACACACACACACACACACACACACACACGGTATGCATGCATGCACACTCTTTAAGGTCAGAGCACAGGGTGAGAATGTTAAACGGCCAAGCTGGGGACATCAAATATTTTCCTACCCATCACTATCAGCAAACCACCTGCCTGAAATCTTCAAGTGTGTGCACCCATGTGTGTGTGTGTGTGTGCGTGCGTGCGTGCGTGTGTGTGCAGGAGAAGCTGCCCGAGAAACATATATAGGCTTAGCTGACTGCTGAGACAACTTGGCTTTATTAGAGCACACACAGATTCAGACAGACAGATAGGCAGGGTGTGTGTGGGCGCCAGCAGAGCAGACAGATGTAGTTTGGGGGGCGGACTCAGAGAGGGAGATCCTTCCCCACCCTGTGTTTCTCTTATACCCTTCTCACTTTTTATCGCCTCTCCTCCAGGTGTATCCAGGTAACTCCAAGGCCAGGCCGCTCTTAAAACCCACGACAGTCAAGGTAACGGGTAATTGCGGAATGGTACTCGTAAAACGGCCTGTTTGCCTTCAGATGAACTCCGCCCTGCTTGTTTTAGACACAAAAATGGAGAGTCACGAAGCTCAACATGGCGTGATATCGTGGTACAAGCTTCAGACTAACTACTTTTTTCCTGCTTTCACCTTCATACCAATCCTCCTCTACCGTCCAGCCTTCAACACAAGTTACTTTTTCTTTTTATTCCCTTCTCTGCTTCCCACTGGCTTTATCTCTCCCCCTCCGGCGCCCATATTTCTCTGACTTTATGAGTAACTCTGGCTCCCTCCCTCTTTTAATGTTTGATTCCAGGTGATAAGAGGAGGCTGAGCGATGAGTCGGACTGCGCCTGGTTAATGTGGTCAAAGGGCAGAGGCTGTGCTGGGGGAGTCGGGGGCCGGCTGCAGTCACTCAGCCCGAGACTGGGCCGCGCTGAGCTTTTTTGGGCCGTGAGCTGTGGATGGTGGCCCTCAGCCAATAGCTGCACACAAGCCAGGAAAACACACATGTTGAAGCAATTGTCCATATCTGCTGAGGAGTCATTATCTGACTATCAAGATATCGATCAAGAGTTTGTATATATCTACTGTCACATGTACTTACCCTCAGAACAGCGATAAGATTACTACGTTTCTTTGCACAAAGGCCGATAAACACATGTGCACACACCCGTATAGGCAGATGCACGAAAATAAGCCGGGTGTATATTTGTACACATAAATAAAAACATTGTATACAGGCGAGCACGTACAGGATGTGATGTTACACACACACACACACACACACACACACACACACACACACACACACACACACACACACACACACACGTGTACTGTACAGTTCACTGTCAAACACAGTCTTAGTTCATCTCCTCACTTTCAACAATCACTTGTTTGTTTCAGACCGCAAACAAACAACCCACTCCCGCACATAGTGGTCATTGACACGGACTTTCCTCTCCATTACTCTCCATCTTTCGCCCTCTTGTCCTCCCTAACCCCTCTCCCTCTCTCTGATTTTATACCTCGCCCTGCTCCGGCCATTATAAATTCATCGTATGCCGTCGTGGCTGATTGAAGTGATGGGCTGATTCCTCAGAGCTTCCTGCCTGATGGAGGGTGCTATAGCAAATAGCCCAATGGGTCTGTTTAGATAACACTGACCTCTCGCAAACCACCGCCACCTCTGTGAGTGAGCTTTGTGGGAGTCGTCCCCGAGAGGAAGCGTGATCCAGAAAGGGAAAAGGGACATTTAAAAAAAATAATAATAATTGATTTATTACAAAAAAACTGAGTAAAGGAAAGAGAGTGTTTCAGAGGGATGAAAAGAAAGTAAAAAAAGATATGGATGGGGGGGGGAAAGGAGAGTAAAGGGGGGATTGGGGTGGGCCGTGATTTGAAGCGTATTGTAACTCTCACCTGCCCTCTCCATGAACAAAAGTGTTAGTCATCATCAGGGTGAATTGTGAGGCGAGACGAGAGGCAGCTTCGTTGGTCCCCCTGATCTGCATTCTGGCCATGGGGTTACCAGGGCAACGAGTACAGTACACGGCGGGGCGAGGAGGGTGAGGGGGGCATGGAGAGGGCACTCACCCTTTTCCTTGGAAATGGATATTCATGCCTTTGTTCGGCAGGGGTTACGATCATGTTGATTAGGGGGGGAAAAATAGTGTTTAAACGGCCCGCCCTCTCGGCTGGCTCCATGAAACGGGTAAATAATGGAAAGCAGGGTAGGAGGACATTTCAGTTTTCCTCTACCTGCACTGTAGCAGGTCCCTAAATATTTTTAACGGCCACTCAATTTTTCTCTGCCTATACTGAAATCTACGTAGAACCAGCGATTGAATGCAGTGAAGTATTTACTCAATACTTAAGTACAAATTAAATGTATTTTTACTTTACCGAAGTATTTTCATTTTGTTCATCTTTACACGTTTACTCTTAACTTTTAAAGAGTATATTTATAAAATGTAGCATTGTAACTTTTACTTCATTAAAAGATTTAAGTACTTCTTCCACCTCTGCGTAGAACACTTTCAATTAAAAACCGAGATTCAGTGGAACCACACAGTAATAATACTAAATATATTGTGTACAATTAAGATTTTTTATTTTTTTTTGTTAACTTATCACATGATGGCAGGGGACTGGAAATGTTTCCTGTCTCAGCACTTTGTATTTGGCTGGTAGAATGTGCTCATTTTAATACTTTATGAAAAGCAAACAAGTACACCAGTGAATTCAAATGTGTTTGTTCTGGTAACATTTTATTAAATTTGTTTCATTCAGCTTTTATCCAACCTACACCTAGACTTACAAAAGGTGCAATAAGCTGCGAACTGAAAACAGAAACAAATCTGCAGGTACTTTCTCTTTAAATAAGCCAAGCCATTGTGAGTGCATTTGGTGTTTTTTTGATTCTTAAAAAGAGGAGGGCAGCTTGATTTCTTCCTCCCCCCTTTCCCCAAACAGCCCATGACCTTGTCTGTCTGTCTGTACAGAAACTACAGTATTCTCTGTTGCACAAAGATCCTCCAAATATGTTTTCAGTCTGGATAATATCTCTCTTTCTGTCAGCCACATATAAAGAGTGTGTGTCTGCTAGCCCTAAGTGTGTTGAGGCGGTTGAGGCCCATGTGTGTGGCATGTATCCATGTCCGTATCTGTGGCCTTGTGTTTAACTACTCACTTTATGATATACATCAGAACACACATACTCCGTCTTGAAGTGTGCATTTAAAAATAATGGGCTTTGGCATTATGCAACTCTTTGCACACACTGAGCCCGTTTTAAAAGTTACGGAGGGCAATATTATCACTCATCTTTAAAAGCTGGGGGCTGTAAAACATCATTGTAACTCCCCTCATGTGACAAGATGTTTTACAATCGCACCATTAAAAGCTATTGAGAGAGCGTGGGCCATATAGAGTTGAGGAGAGTAGGCAGCGGTGAGTGTAGGTGGCTCTTTCTCTCCTGACGCAGCACTGAAAACATTCTTCAGTGCAAGGCGTGCAGCGCCCTAAGATAATGTTGTTCTTTAATTAAACTATCTCTGCTGTGCACTGTAAAGGAGCGAGGGAGAGGGCACACACACAGGTAACCTTGGGCAAACCGATGCATTATGAATTCTCAGTATTGTAGGTTCTTTGTGTGGCGGTGTTTACGCATTTGAAAGAAGTGTGTGTATTAATAATGTGTGTGCACTTTCCACACTGATCGCCAATTAAAACAACCCTCGGCTCAATGAAAACATGAAACTGACTCCTGCAATCACAGTTATGAATCAACCATCAGAGCTCATTACAGGAGTCAGGTGATCGGCCTCTGAAGCAGCTTCGCTTTACAAGATTAAAACCTGGAACTGAATAATGTTCCGATCAAACTGCACAACCCAGCAATGAGGCCTCACCACATCGTGAAATAACACGCATGCTGTATATGCATTAGGCTGCATCACTTAGACAAATACAAATGTGATTTTTAGATATTTAAAATAATATTTATTCTAAAGAGTCTGGACTTACTGTTTGTTTTTAACAATCTGCAGTATGCAAATGTAGATATTTGAGCCAAAAGGCTGAATTGAAATTAGTCTACAATAATCCTCCAGGCTATTATTATTATTATTGAATGAGCTGATAAAGTTTATCCTATATATCCGCTGCTTATTATTTGTAATAATATTTATTAAATCTACAGTTAGGCTGTCACTCTTGCAGAAATTAACGTCCATACATCTCTTTATGAGTTAGTGTTATGTTACTCCAGTGGCTTATAGTTCAAAAGGCCTGAAATACAGCAATAGATAAGTAAATAGTCATGTGAATAAACACAGGTGTCCTTTACACTGGAGACATGCCTGCACATTTTGAAATGGAATTGTCCCTATTACTTTGTTGAAGAATAATCTGTAATAAAAAAATTAAAAAACGCTTGCACCTACAAATGTTAACTAACCAATAAAAAGGGCTTTAGGAAAGGTATATTTGCACCATGAGGAAAGATATAATGCAATGTAAATATAAAAATAATTAATGTGTATTGTCAACTGAAAAAAAATCCCCCTATAAAATGTCCAAAAAAAATCATTCATTAGCAACTTTTTATATTTCATGACATAGGTTGTTTTTATCCTTATTCTGGTAATTATCTACTCTAATTCATCCTTCCATAACACTGCCTTACAGTGTTGAAGACAATTTTAAAATCTTACGTCACCATTACTTTACAACCCAAAGTGACGCCCTTGTAAATCAAATAGAAGGAGGTTCGTTTTATGGCGGATTAATTACGACTTTTAATGGGAGTTATCGTCGGCAGATCGCTTGATGCTGCAGAGAAACGCGATCCTGCGGCAGCCTGTGCAGCCTGTAATGTCTCTAAACTGGAGCCGCGGTTGGTCAGGCCGACCACTGCTGAGATGTGAGAGGAATCCCTCCGCTATCTGCGAACTGATCCGTGTCCTGCGGTTTGATCCAGCTCGTGCATCTGCAGCCTGACAGGAAGCTGGCGCACACTGTCCGATTCGAGCACGGAGACGAAGCAGGCCTAAGGTCCGGTGTTGTGTTGTGATCCGGCTACTGTTCATTTACAAGAGCTTTACCTGCTGGTAGCCTATACCGATAGGCTCTAATTCAGGAGGCTGCTGTGCCTGTAGTTCACCTGTCAGCCGCCAGGGGGAGATATGCATGAAGATAGAGAGGAGATCAGCACACAGCTTCCGTTTAAATCAGTAAAGGGTGTGAAAGAAACAACGACAAAAAAAGACCTTTACATAATTGTAATTAAAAGATCAAACAAAACGTGACAAAATGACCTTAAACAAAATGTAAAAAGGCTAATAAAAAACCTACAGGGGTGAGTAACAGGCAGTGGTGTAATGTAACTAAGTACATTTACTCAAGTATACTGTACTTAAGTATACCATTTTGAGATAGTTTACTTTAGCATTTACCATTTTTTTGCTCCTGCGTACTTCTACCCCACTACAATTCAGAGGTTGATAAAAGTAACTTTTACTCCACTATATTTATTTTATACCTTTGGTTACTTTTCAGACTTGGATTAATAATGTGAAATATAATCAACACTTAAATAAGACTTTAGTTACACCTGGAGTAAATCCACAAGCTACCTAGCACTATATAAATGAATAAAAATTACCTCAACTTTTACCAGCTTTGATAACACTTTAGTGCATTAATGATTATAATATAGAAAATATATGATTCTGAAATAAGGCCAATCTGCATAATGAGTACTTTTACTTTTAGTAGGCTACTTCAAGTTTATTTTGATGCTAATACTATGCAATGCAGGAATTGTACTTTTAACAGAGTATTTCTACACTGTACTTTTACTTAAGATCTGAGTATGTCTTCCACCTCTGGTAACCGGTAAGGATAATACAAAAATTGCATATAGAAATACATTTAAAAAAAATACAGCCTGGGTGTGATTAATTGAATCTCACCTTTG